ATCAATGTGTTGTTTTTTTCCCATATTTTTTTAATTGGTGCATGATAGTTGTACATAATGGTGGGATTTACTGTTACATATTTGTATGCACACAAAATAACTTGGCCAATATCATTCCTTATTGGATCAATGTGATACAGCTTGTAAAATAAAATATTTTGAAGGAAAAAAAAAAGAATGCACTTTCACAGTATTTGCACCTCAAGCAATCATGAAGGACAATTTTCTCACAATTTATAAATGCGGACATTTAGACTCAAAGTGGGTAATTTTCTCAAGATCATAACACTAGCATTACTAGTCATTTGGGTTTTCAGAAAATACCCTAAATTATCAGACTAATGGAAGCTTGTTTTAATCTACTTTAAAATTTATTTTCTAAAAGTTTCTGGTATTGGGAGATTGAACCCAGAGGCACTTTACCCCTGAACTACATCCCCAGCACTTTTTAATTTTAAGACAGGGGCTACGTTAAGTTGCCAGGGCTGGTCTCAAACTTTTAATCTTCCTACTTCAGCCTCTTGAATTGCTGGGATTACAGTCTTGCTACAGTCACAAACAGGCTAAGTTTAAGAGTAAATTGCCTAGATTCTTAGGGTTTAGCAGGAAATATCTAATAATTCAAATTATCTATAGAATACTAGCAAGCAACAAATAAAGTTTATGTTTTACCTATTTCTTACATCCTTTAACTACAGGAGAACAGTATATAATTACCAGGATAGAACAGGACTTATTATACACCGGAAGTCCTATATTTAAAAAGACATTTATACTGAACAAAATATACATGCTCAGCCTCATTTAAGACAATTCATTACCTGAAATAACAAAGAATACAGCATACTCCACAAATAAAATTTCGAAGTAGTTTAATTACATTTATAACATATAGAGGAAGTGGTATATTTAGATCCAGCTGAATTAATAAAAATATTTAGAGTGTCTTGCATACACATACACATAGTGAAAGGAAAATAAGAACAGGAAAAAAAAAATGAAATGACATTTATAGACCAATTTCCATCTTGACAGACAAGAAGCATGTCATTTAATACTTGCTAAAAGAAGTGACAACACTGGCCTGGAGTTTCTCAGCGGCCAATTCAAGAGGGAAATCCATTCAGAATTATATTCTGCTATATCCCTAAGATAAAAAAATCAAATAGTATAAAAGGACTACTACCACGGGGCGTGAGGATAAGGGAAGGAAGTGGGAGAGAAGAGACACATCTCCAAAATTGACTAATCAGACCCAAAATAATGAATCAGAAGATTTGAAATGTAAGTAATTTTATAGATATCTAAGTATCTATGGATATGTAAGTAATTTTTATTTAACCATAGATACAAACTATCTTCAAATACCCAACAGAATGATAATTAGGCCACTAAAAAACTCAGTAAATTTTTAAAAATCGAAACTCACCTATGCTAGTTATTGAACTGAAAAAGTAAACATCAGTTCAGCCTGAGAAAGTAAAAAGTCTGCCCTGCCATTGATCAAGTTGAAATTATAGAAAACCAAATGGGAAACCATATTTCTCCCATGACTACACTGTAGCTATAAAGTGAATAGGCTAGCATTATCCAGACACCAAAGTCAAAGAAGAACAGCTCAAAAAGAGTAATGATTGGTTCATATCAATTATGACTGCAACAACGAAGTAAAACACTTTAGGATCTACTCCAGAGTAAGACATGGGCTGGGGATGTAGCTCAGTTGGTAGAGTGCCTGCCTCACATGCACAAGGCCCTGAGTTCAATCCCCAGCACCACCAAAAAAAAAAACACCAAAAAATAGAATAAGACATGCCGAAGAATACAAGGGTTATTCAATATTAGAAAGTGTATTATTAATGAAGCACAACTAATTCTAGGTGAGTTAATACAGTTCACTTAATTCCAGATGGGTTAAGGAGTTAAATGTCAAAAAATAGTTTTTCTAAAATTTAAAAAGTGAAGATTCATTCTCTTAGTGGAGTATTGAGAATAAGAAGAAAATAGTTTTGACCATATAAAAACATAAGAACATTCAATTTTAAAGCCAAATTAAAATTGAATACTGAGATAAATGAGAAAGGAATATGAACTGTCAATCAATGGAAAACATACAAATGGCCACAAAAGATAGACAACATTAATAGTCAAAAGTGAAATAACAAATGTGCAAACAAGGTTTTTTCCAATCTTAGACTATGAAAAAGTAGAATGCCGGGGCTGGGGATGTGGCTCAAACGGTAGCGCGCTCGCCTGGCATGCGTGCGGCCTGGGTTCGATCCTCAGCACCACATACAAAGATGTTGTGTCTACCGAAAACTAAAAAATAAATATTAAAAAATTCTCTCTCTCTCTCTTAAAAACAAAAATGAAAAAGTAGAATGACAGCAATAGTGCTATGAAACAAATATTCTCAGACTGCTGGTGGAATATAAACGATTATAATCTTTCCAGAACAAGAAATACACATCAAGCCAGTACAAAAAAAAAAGAATCTTACAAATGCTCGTGTCCTTTGACTCATTAATGAAAGTCAATCTATGCTAGGCAAAAAATAAGAGATGTAATTGACAGTTCTTTGTAAAACATTCAACAACTGGGAACTACTACATAAATTACTCATACATCCAAAGATTAGCCTGCTGTCACTGAAAATAAGGATTTCAAGAAATTTAAGGAAATAAGGAAATGTTCATCAAATAATTTAAATTAAAAAAAATAGGGCTGGGGTTGTGGCTCAGAAGAAGAGTGCTCGCGTAGCATGCATGAGGCAGTGAGTTTGATCCTCAGCACCACATAAAAATAAAATAAAGGTATTGTGTTCATCTACAACTAAAAATGTTTTTTTAAAAAAAGATACACACACATTGTACCAAGTAGTGGTTATATTAGACGATTTTTCTCTTCTGCTTTTTTGTATTTTCCAGATGAGTGTTAAGTATTTTCATGAAGTTACAAGAAGCAATGGGGAAGATGGTGGTGGTGGTGGTGGTGAATCAGGCTCAGTTTTCATTAATTTCTTGTTATTTTAAATGTAGAACATACTTCTGAAATGTATATTATCAAAAAAACTAATGAGCCAACTCTACTCCTTGATGTTAATCTACATATATAGTGTAGTAATACATATTTGCTACCCATATTAAAGTATATTAGAGTCCAATATGGTGGTACCCAGTAGTGGTGTGAACAGTGAGGAGTTTGTGGGGCAGAGAAAAATCAATGCCAACCACACCTATAAACACTAGGGCCAGTTTATAATAACTGTAATGCCCATGGGCTGGGGATATAGCTCAATTGGTAGAGTGCTTGCCCATGCACAAGGCCCTGGGTTCAATCCCCAGCAACACAAAACAAACAAAAAACTGTAAGGCCCAGATCTCAGTGTAGTAAAAAACCTCTGCAAAGAGAGAGAAAAAAAAATTTTTTTTTTGTTGATTTCATGTTATTAAAGAAACAGACAAAGTTGAAATGGATGTAGTCAGAATTGAATGTTGAAGAAGTGGGAAATGATAGGAGCTGAAAGGTGTTTAATGAACATTGCATTATTCACTTCAATCCTCCCATGTCATCTCATTAGAGCCAAGCACAAAAGACATCAAGGTAGGCTTCCTAGGATGATTTCTGAGCCAACAGTCCAAGACATTTTGTTTTCTGCCCCACTTAGCCAAGACTCAAATCTAATTTTAAATTATAAAATAATAAACTGCTGTTTTACTGATTTTGTAAAAAATAACTATCAAAATAATTTTCTGGGGCTGGAAGTGTGGCTCAGTGGTAGAGCACTTGCCTAGCTCGCATGGGGCACTGGGTTCGATCCTCAGCACCATATAAAAATAAATAAAGGTATTGTGTCCATCAAAAAAATTTTAAAAAGTATAATTGTGAGAAAAATAAATCTCTGACAAAATATATTGAAACATATGAATATTTAAAAAATTTTTTATTCCTTAAGCTATTCTATCATAAGCAGTACACTTAATGTTTTCTATATAGTGTTAATGCTCCTCTTCAATCAAACTTACTACAAAACCACTTGTTAAGGAACCTGTAAACTACATTTATAAAACAAACCTAAATTAAAAGGTGTTCATTATATAAATATTACTTACTTAATGTCAGTTCAATAAATCTATTATTTGAATATTCTTTTTAAGACTACTCAATATTTTCCATATAAAAATGTAACTCATTAATACAATGTGTACATCATACTACTTTAAAAGCCCAAGCTCTGGATAAATTTAAATGTGGACTGTTAAACGATTACACTTGTAAATTATGACACAGATATGCCTAAATCTGATACCTTAAGCGTGTCCAGTATACCCCGATCCTTAAACGTCTGGTACAGCTTTTTTCGCAGTTCATCTTGACTCAATACATCACACTTGGGGGACATGGTAGACTGGAAGAGAAAATTGTTATGAGTTACTTGGTGGGCAAAGGGGTCACTAATTTTTGAAAACAGACCAGCAGCCTCCCCGGAAACCCAGAGACTTCATTTCTGCCAGTACCGGGGAAATGGCAGTTATAGCTAGCTACCTGAGCCATCATCAGGTATCTGCTTCCTCCAGAGCTCAGTCGCCAGGACCCGAGTTCCAAAGTTCAGCCCAGGCTGCAGGCTCAGGACAAGAAGGAATCCCGGCCTGTTTGGGGGGAATAGGGAAAAACAAGAGAGCTGAATGTTCTGCCTAGCACTCGAACTAGGAACTCGGAAGAAGATGCGTACTTCCTTTCTCCGCGGTTCTGAAGGGTGGGCGGGGCCGTGACCCTAGAGGGGCGGGAACTGTGAAAGGCTGCTGGAGGGCAGACGCCGGGGCGGGGTGGCAGGGCAGCACCCAGAGATTTCATGGCTCAGAGCCCACATCACCCCTCCTCGAGGCCCGCCAAACTGAATCGCCTTTGTCTGGACTGTTACGGCACACGCGTCCATCTGCGCACGCGCCCAGTGCTACCGGAAGCTCCACCCACATCTCGCGAGAGCGTACCATTAGGGTCTCGCGAGTACTGCTCCTGGAGTCCTGACTGAAGCTGGGGAGCGCGGGTCTCTGTGGCGCGAACTGACTGGGCGTTTCCATTGTCGGCCTTTCACTACAGGTAGGGGTTGGAGCGAGTGGGGGGCGGGCGCTCCGGGTCCTTGGGGGACGTCCCAGGCTCCACGTGAAGCGGATATTGGTCTTGTACCTCCACCCCGCCCCGCCGATTCAGTTAGCCCACCAAGCAATCCACACTGTGTTTCGATCTGCAAACGTCCGCCTTTTCGGAGGCTTGGCTCTCACTAGGTCATTCAGCTAACCCAGTGTTTCTTAACCACGGCATTATTGCTATGTGGAGCTGGAAAACTATTTGTTGTAGGAGGCAGTCCTGTGCATCGTAAGATAGTCACAGCGTCCCCGGTCCGTACCGTCCAAAAGCCAGTAGCTCTCGGCCCTCACGCTCACAGGTATGAGAACCAAGTCTCCGGACATTGCCAAACAACCTCTGGGAGGCAAAATCGCCCCCAGTTTTTGAGAACCACGGAGCTGAGCTTTCATAGAATTTCCGCCGTTGTGTGCTCTGAGCAAGATTGAAAAAAGGTGAGCTCGATCCCCAAGATGCTCAAGTGTAATTAGAAAGAAAAGGAACCAGATCTCTCAGCAGTAAGAAAATATCGCAGCCAAAGAATTGAACAAGAACGAAGATGCTTTGTAGACTGGGTAAACAGTTTAGAAAAAGGGAGGCAGTTTAAGATGAAAGTAATCAAGGACATATCTGTGGAAGTGTGACTAATCAAATCTTTGATAGAGAGGATTTGAATGATGAGCACTGAGGAGAGCTTTGCTGGAAGGGGGAAATGTGCAAAGGAATGGGGTGGGGGTGCGGATTATGTCCTGGCTCCCAAAGTCGTGCCCTGGGGAAATAAGGAATTTAAGTCCTATGAGGACAAAATTGGTCAGTGTCAGCTTTTTGCACAGTACTGAAGAGTACAATGAGGTTTGATCCTTGGCTGTGAAAAGTTGTAAGTATCTAAAAGCCAGCAGGAGTAACACTTCAGAGGAGGTGAAAAGCCTATAGGTTTTTGTTGGAAATAATTGTGGAAGAGGGACTTAGTTGTACATTAAAGAATGGGAAAGGGTTGTACAGAATCAGGGAGAGCATTCCAAGCACAAAGAAGTAAGAACAGTCTGGAGTGGATGTAATCCAAAGTGAGTTTTAGAGGAAAAGTAAGAAGGCTGACCACTCAGCTCTATCAGAGGTGAACAATAAAGTTGAGAAAAGACGTGGAACAATGTGGGAATCTGTTTGGGGTATTAGTACATGATGTTGTAGTTAAGAAACATTAAGGCTTTTGAGCAGAGCAGTGAAACAATGAAAACAGTGTTCTGATAAGTGTTGATATGTTACTGTTAAAAAGTAGAATCACATACTCACTGTTTAAAAAAGCCTGAAGACACTCCCAACCCCATCTTTTGATCCCGGAGTTGAATAGGATTAGGTAAAATGTTCTAAGAGTCAGCATAAACCCACTTAGGGGTGGGGAAATTGCTTATAAATTAATGGAAGATTTCCCATTAGATACTTATCAATAGTATTTTTTTTTTTAAACCCATTTATTGCAATAGTCAGGTCCCTTGCCACACCGCTTGAGTCTTGCAGCCCCAGGTCTATGGAACAACTGAAACCACTGCTCTCAGGAGCACAGGGCAATTAAGTTTGTCTATAGAGGCTGTAAAGAAATTTTTTGTAAGAAATGGTTGGCTTTGGAACTGGGATGCATGAGTTTTGCCTTGCATTTCCCTGCAGTTTAAAATTCTTAAGAGTTGGAAAGGAATTTTAAGTTAATTGAGATCATCCTCCCACTCTAGCACTGGTCATCTTCTAACCACCCCTTACACATTTCTAGCTTCCTTGTAACTTCAAAGTAGCCCTGAGCTTGGCCTACAGAGCTGTTTGGAATGTCTTTCCAATCCAGAGTCTAAATATTTGGCACTCATGTAGGCACTGCACTCCCTATAGTAGACATGAATAATTGATCACAGCAATTAACTGCTGACATCACTTTGTCTTAGTTTCTTTTGCAGCACCAGTTTCTGGTTGATAGTACCAGTTTGTTAGAATTCATTCACTAGAAGAAACCTTTTGCCATCTCTAACTCAAATCCCTTTTCTATTAGATAGCATATAGTATTGTGCTGCACGCGCACACACACAAGCAGTCTCCCCCTCACCGCAACATCTTCAGTTCCTCTTGTTTCCAGAGCATTCTCTAGCCTAGATCCCACCCTCCCTTGTCCAAGTTAGTTTAAATGCTGAGCTAGACTAGGTTAAGGTCAACCTCAAAGCCTCCTTAGAGACCCTGGGCCATAAATTGACATAGAATAAATATGCAGTGTTCTTCAGGTCCTGACACTCAAGTCAGCTGTGAATCATCCCTTATTCAGCAAATAATCAATGCTTACTCGACCTCTGGCACTTTTGTAGCTCTGGAGTTACCACAGTGAATAAGACTGCATCTGTTTTCATACTGTGTATCATTCTAGCAAGACTACTGTCATCACCCAGGCTACAGGTCTCCAGTTTGTTCTTAGATACTGGCAAAAAGTGGTTTACTTACTGTCTACCTACCATATTTCCCTTCCAAAACAAAACAATGTAAATTTTGCATGACTTGTTCTCAGTATAAGTGGAGTATGTGAATAAATAATAACCTAATCTATTTCTTCTAGGATTTCATATTAATGAACTTATAATAAAAGCTCCTGACACAGTATCTGATCAAAAATGGGAATTTAATACATATTTCTGTTGTATTAGTCTCTTTGAATGTGCCCAGTTATAGACTAGGAGACAACTTTTTTCCTGTTTCTGAAAATAGTAGCATTTATCTGTCTCTGAGGTTATAACACTTTTATATACCAGGGCTTACTCAAATGTTACTAATACACAATAACATTTGTTAATCCAAGCTATATAATTTGTTAGGACCTGAAGACGTAGATTTATTGAAATGCCTATTTTCTTAACATGCCTACCTTGAAATTTGCATCCTGCCTAACTTGCTTTCTTCCATGCTTGCTGTTTGAAAGTTATTCTCTTTAACAAAAAATGGAAGTTAAGCAGATCTGTGTCCTCTTCAGTATGTACCATGTACTTGAAGCAGTTGACCTTTTTCCCCTACTCTTTCCTCATCAAAACCTAAAAATAGGCTTTTTTAAAAAATTTTTTAATATATTTCACACTTTTTCAGTTTCTTGTGGGCTTTTGCCCTTCTGATTCTAGCCTCACAGATTTCTGGTCCTGTTATGTTCATTACTAGTTAGTGACCTGCTTTCGACATCATTTATCTGTTCTCTTTAAGGTAGCCAGAGAGCACCTCATATCACCTAGTTGATTTCTTTAGTTGTCTCCCTCTCAAAAAGAGGATCAAGTCTCCCTAGCCACCAGGGACCCTTTCTACCACAAGTGAGAGTTCTGGCTCTCCTCATCAGCCACCAAGTCTAGTCCCTTGTCAAACTTTAGTAACCTTTCACAAACAGTGTTGATCACCTGAGAGTCCTGAGACCCCTGTGATTTCAGCACTAGAGCTATCAGTTCATTTCAGTGTTGAGGCTACTTAATGCTGAAATCCCACCTTGTCCCTAATTCCTGCATTCCAGCACATCTGAAAAACTACAGCCCCTTCTCTGCAGTTCCATTCTGCAAGCATTGGGCATCCTTGTGATTATAGATATGTAGTGGAAAAAATATAGGCTGTGTTTATTTCCACATTGTCTTTCCCATGTTGCTGTGGTTATCTTCACATTGGTATATCATGGCCTCCCACAATATCTTTCATGGTATTTTGAAACCCATGCTCCTGGTAAGTGAACTCCCTTTGTCCCCTGTCTCTTCATAAAACATACCTTCTACTTATGTGCTGACACTGCCTTTTTTCTTATACCCACAGGTTTCCTACTGCTGCCTTAATATTGCCACAACTTCAGTGGCTTAATATAACAAATATATTACCTTACGGTTTTGTAGATAGAAATTTGACACAGGTCTCACTGATCAGCAGGACAGTGTTCCTTTTGGAAACTCTGAGGAGAATCTGTTTCCTTGTGTTTTCCAGCTTTAAGAAGTCACCTGCATCCCTTGGCTTTGGCTTAATCCTCCATTTTCAAAGCCCTGAACACTGTAGCTTTGTGACCATCTGTGTGCCTACATTTCCCTCTGACTTTCCTCCTCTGCTGCCCTCTTCCGTATTTAAGGATGCTTGTGATTATGTTGGGCCCACCTGGATAAGCCAGAATAATCTCCTATCTCAGGGTCACTGATGAGCAGCATTAATTCCATCTGCAACCTTAAAGCCTCTTTGCCAGGAATACTAACATACAGGTTCCATAGATTAGGACTTCTCAAGAGAGGGGCACTGTTGAGCATGATCACCTGAGCAAGGCATTTGGAAACCATGCTAGATTCTTCTCTCTTCCTCAGCTCCCCAGTTTAATTCCCAAATTCTGTGTAGCTACCTCCTTACCTCTAGACCTGGCCTTCCTTGGAGATGATTCAAGGGCCTCTATTAAGGTGATGGGAAAATTGAGCAGACTCATGCCAACAGGCACTTTAACCATATTGATTGCTTTATATAATTTATTTTATATATTGGAATTCTGAGTAATACTTGCTTTGTGGGTAGAAAAGATTGCTGAACTTTTTATAAGAGTTTGCAGTCATTGATCTGTAGTTGTGCTGTTCTGTATTGTAGCCATTAGTCACATGTGGCTATTTATGTTTAAATTAATTAAAATTAACTAAATTTTCAAACTTAGTTCTGCAGTCACACTGGCCACATTTCAAATGCTACTGGCTCCCATATTGGACAGTGTAGTTATAGAACATTTCCATCCTTGCAGAAAGTTCAGTATATTGGACAGCAATAGTTTGTCTCACCTTTACCCATTATTACCCAGTGGTAGTGAGCCTGCAAGTAGTTGCTAAGTAATTGCAGGTGTTCTGTTCCTGAGACAACGGGGTTATTTTCTCCCAAGGTTTTCAGTTCTTCTGCTTCACCTGGCAGGTTTTCTTCAGTAGAATTGGGTGGAGAACTACAACCCTTCTTACTTGAGCAGTTTGTGAAATCAAATTATGGTCAGCTCAAGTCAAGAATAGAATGTAGGTAAGGAAAACTGTCTCATCTGCTCAACTGGGTGGTTTTTAACAGAACTCTTCATGCTATGCTCAAACACTGTGCATCTCTCCCATTGGTGGATTCCATAAATGGGCGAGAGTCTGGGGAGGAATGTATACATGTATTTCCTTCTGCTGCTTAAGTTTGGTGTTTGTGTGTTTTCTCCTATTGCTATTTAAATGTTTGTGCTGAAGAAAGTAAGCCCTTCCCTTGGGAAACTCCAGCTCTGAAGCCTCTTCCAACAAGAGTTTATGATATCATTATTGGTTCAAATTTCAAATTCTTTTTGCTCTTCCTGCACTTCCATTGGAGATTTGTTGCCAATTCCCCTAGTTTTGCATAGCTTTTGTATCATTCCTGCTTATCTTTGTTATTCAGTTTTATTATTTGAATCTTTCATATCTTTCCCCTAAAACAGGGACAAACTTTTTTTGTAAAGGGCCTGATGGTCTCTATTGCAGCTGTTCAGCTCTGCCATTGAAGGGTAAAAGCAGCCTTAGACAATAGTAAGAGGATGCATGAGGCTAGATTTGACTAGCAGTCTACAGCATGTCAGCCCCTGCCCCAAATAACATTTAAAATCCTACTTCATCATGCCAAAGGAGTTTATCTACCTTTTCTCCATAGTCATAGTTAAAATTACCAAGTCAAGTTAAAAGTGCCAACTAGGCCCTGATTTCCTGATTAGGAAACAGATTTCTGATTTCAGTGCATGTTCTGTGTGAATCAGCAGAAGGCCTGGTGAGGTTTGGTGAGTCTTAGGCTCTATCTGTCCCAGATGTCCAGGATGCTAACTGGATACTCCCAGTTAACTGGATTCCCACCACACATTGAGGAGTTACTAGATGCTACCTCCTGGTGTGTATATACTCTTCCATGTTGTTCTAGATAATCACTGTGAACCAGACAGCATGCATTAGATTGTGGCATCCTTATAAGCACACCATGAGGAAACTGATGTTATCCCTGTTACACAGATGAGGAAACAGAAACTGGGAGAAGGAGGACCATGCCTGTGGTCACATTGCTAGTGAGAGGCAGAGCTAGACTTGAACCTGGCTTTGTTTAACTCCAAAGCTCTTCTTCTAAAAATACAAATGTGTAAATCCACCCCCACTCCTCTCCCCACCAAGCCATCATCTGTCTTTCTGTGCATCTAAAGCCTGGAATCACTGACTATCCCTGCCCAGTTTCTTAGTTTTGTTTTGTTTTCTTTAGTCAACCCTTAACCCTAGTTCCAAGATCTCAATGCCTCAGAATTTTTTCCTTTTGGATTATTTCTTCCATTTTTTTCCTAGAATACAGAATTGTTTCTTCCTTATAAATTGGTGTATGAAGAGGCATATCATAGGCTCTTGCATTTGCAGACTTAAATTTGTAGCACACATCCTTTAGGTAGAAAGAAGACAAAGTATACAATTTGTAGACAAATGCTATAGTGTCTCCTTTATGTATACATGTGTGTGATACAGTTGTTTTTAGCTTCTTCTGAAGGATGCCTCCTGGAAATTTCCAAGGCAAGCTAATTATTGCTTTCATCTTTTCCACATTCCATTGTACTTAACTATTCACCACCCTCTATTAATCTTCCCAGGTGTTGATGTGCAGGCTAACTGGTTCAGTCCAAATTAAATGTAACTCCGTCAGATACAGGGTTCCTTGAGCTGAATGTTCCAAGCTTTCATATCATAAAAATGTTATCTTTGTGATTTCATATTAGAGGCTTTTCAGTTTCCCTCTGGATATACAGTATATTGGATTCTCAGTATATTATATTCTATAGGACATATCATAAATATCTAATTTGTATAATCCAAAAGACACATATATATGATAATATACTGGAAAGCATGTCAAACTGAGTGGCATTCTCCTCTACAATGTGCAGTTTAAATTTAAAAAATTCTAGAGTTTGTGTTAATCATTTTTGGATTTCATTCAGTATTGAGTACTAAAAGTATATTATTTTTTATTTAATTTAATTAGGAGCCATATATTGAAGATAATGTCCGGAAGCTTCTACTTTGTAATTGTTGGCCACCATGATAATCCAGTTTTTGAAATGGAATTTTTGCCAGCTGGGAAAGCAGAATCCAAAGTGCGTATGAAAGCTTAAATTCCACATGAAAATTTTTATGCTCTTGTAATAATATGGTATAGTATGATTTTAGAAATGGAATCGATCTGGACAGATGAAGCAACTCAAGTCCACCACTGTTAAATGAGGGTCTCTCTGGAGGCCCACAGACTGATAGAAGCCAGCTAGGAGATGTCTTTGAAATTATTTATTCAACCTTCAATTCAGCATACACTTAGTACAGACTAGCATGATGCCCAGGTCTCTTTCCTATAATATTAAGTTCACTATGTCACCCTCTATGAAGTGCTGCTTCTAAAGTGCATGGAAAGACAATCCACCTGTAGTGGGTCTGGATGAATAGTCCTTGCTGCCTGGAAATGCCATGGAAGTCCATTCTGTTTCACTGAATCACATTTTTCCATCAGGACAGACATAGTAGATCAATTTATACACCTGAGAGGGTTAAAAAAGACACTTGCTCCCATGTCTTGCTGTCACTGAATCTACAGCACCTTGTTTTCAGTGCCTGTAGCACTGCTGTGCTGGGTAGTGTCTGTGTGGTCTCTTCTAGAGACTACCTGGCTGTGTGCAGGTAATTCTGAAAGCAGTACCAGAGGTTAGGCCCCTTGACTTTCTTATTGTCAGGGATAGGTCCAGAAAAATAAGCTTGGGCTGGGTACAGTGGTGCATATTTGTAATCTCAGCAACCTAGGTGGCTGAGAGAGAAGGATTGCAAGTTTGAGGCCAGTTTCAAAAAATAAAAAAGACTTGGGGATATATCTCATCCCCATGATGTAGCTCATCTTGGGGATGTATCTCAGTGGTTTCAATCCCCAGTACCAAGAAAAAGAAATAAGCTTGGTTCAAGAACATATTACCAACCATTCAAACAGCCGTAGAGTCTTGAGATGAGAGTAGCCCAATCCTTCTGGGCATGGTGGCACACACGTGTAATCCCAGCTACTCTGGAAGTTGAGGCAAGAGGATCACAAGTTTGAGGCCAGCTCTTATTTGGGCAATTTATTGAGACAAGACCCTGTCTCAAAAATAAATAAGGCTGGGGAGGTACGTAGCTCAATGGTAGAGCACTTGCCTAGCTTGTGTGAGGCCTCCATTCAATCCCCAGTACCATTAAAAAAGGAGAGAGAAAACAGTTCAATCCCCTCCATCTTTTTGTAATAGTACATATTCCTAATAAGTTGCTGAGAAATACACTATGTTTCTCCCGGCCTCCACAAATAGGCTTCAATGTCCTTTAGGACGAGCTGATTTTTAAAAATTAATCATAATGCACACTCTTAAGCATAAGATACTTTTTAACCTGTCAAATCTTGCCACCAAAATATGAAATTGGAGGTATTTTCTACCTCGTATTGTTGCAACATTGTTTTCCCACAGTCTTATGAGAATGTTGTACATTAAAATTTTGGAGGTATCTCTACAGCTATAATTGCTTTGTGGGACATTGCTGCTTCTATACAATTTTTGTTCTCTAGCGGACCTGTGATGGACAGAGTAGCATATATAAAAACACTTTATCGCTTCACTTGGTCTTATTTCTTTCTCCTGTGACCACTTATTATCTTAAAGCATTTCTACCATTCATACCCATTCTTTCAAGTGTGATCATTAGTGTGAAGTCATGGAAAACACTGTTGTGAGCCAGACACAAAATACATCCATTACTCTAAGGATTCAATTAACTTCGTCATGGCAACGTGAGTGAAGTAAACATACTTTAGCTGTACAACGGATTCCAAGGCAACTGCAACCTTCCTCCAGCCTATCCATGGGAACGGTCTTTTTAGCAAGAGGGTTGTATTACTTTCCTGTAGCTGTTGTGACAAAATACCAGAACTTAAGGGGCTTAGAACAACAGAAATTTATTGTCTCACAATTCTAGGAGGCAGAAGTCTGCAATTAAGGTATTGGCAGGGCCATATGCCCTCTGAAGGCACTAAGGGAGGGTCTTTTCAGGGTCTCTTTCCTAGCTTCTGGTAGTTCCTTAGCACCAGTGTTCATGTGGCCTTCTTCCTGTGTGCATGTCTGTCTCCAAATCCCTTTTTATAAGTGCCCTGGTTATATTGGATCAGAGGCCCACCCTACTCCATTATGGCCTCATCTTAACCACATCTGCAGTCACCTTCTTTCCAACAAAAGTCACATTTTTAGGTACTGGGGCTTAGGATTTCAATAAATGAATTTTGGGGAAGATACAATTCAGGCTATAACAGATATTCATTAAAAACTGCATTTTCAAAGAAAGAATTCCACCAGAGTAGGCTGCATTCCAAATTGTGAGCTTCCTCTCCACATTATGGTGGATCAGTCCCACCCTCTCTGCTGTTAAGCCATTTCAGTTTACCAACTGGACACTCTTAGCTCTGACAGGATTATACTCTGCTGTTAACATGATGACTGCTCACAAGCTGGGGCTGAGTGTGGCCTCCTACCACTCCCAGATTCCCATGGCACATAAGTTCCACTCACCTGAAAGAGGCCTCTGGCAGGTAAGCACGAGTGCCAACTCTTCAGCTATCTCTATGGCTTCCCTGGTGCCACTGCTCAGGAAGCCCAGCCCTCTCTGCTGTCTCCTGCCCTTGAGATGGTGTGTGACACCCATTTTCTACAACTGTCCTTTGCCATCTCCATGGCCCTAGCCTCCCTAATATGTTCGCCTTGATCCACATTCACCTTACACATGTTTTTCATGTCTTTCTCTAATAAGATGTGAGCTGCTTTTTTGTTTGTTTTTGTGGTACCCAGTATTGAACCCATAGGTGCTTAACCACTGAGCCATATCTGTAGCCTTTATTATTTTTATATTTTGAGGCAGGATCTTGCTTAAGTTGCTGAGGCTGGCTTTGAACTTGTGATCCTCCTGCCTCAGCCTCCCAGGTTACTGGGATTATAGATATGTGCCACCAACCTCAAGATGTGAGCTTGAAAGCAGGAGAATCTAACCCCCCGCCTCCCTGTTCCCCCCCCTTAAGTGTATTCTTTCACATGCTTAAAGGGTTACAGAATTTGGTAACTTCCTTCTTTTAATATTAAAAATATAGTTTCTTGGAAACATTTATTGGCTATTTCTGTTATTGTTGAGTTTTAGGTATCAAATTAAAACATGAAAACAAGTTTTTATGTCTCTTGATAATAAGTGAAGTAAAAGCAAATGGTGTTTTTCCCTACAAGAAAACCACATATAGAATTTATAGAATTATTGGAATTCCTGATACCACATTGCAATGTTAATCTGTTGCTTCTCTCTGTCATTTAGGATGATCATCGTCATCTGAACCAATTCATAGCTCATGCGGCTCTTGACCTTGTGGATGAAAACATGTGGCTTTCAAACAATATGTATTTGAAAACTGTGGACAAATTCAATGAGTGGTTTGTGTCAGCATTTGTCACTGCAGGGCATATCCTTAACTTATTAGTAAAGATACTGAACTAAGGTTGGGTTAGCAAATAGAACATGGAGCACAGATACAGGCTCTGAGTCTATAGGTTTCAAAGAATCAGGTAAAAATTTTCAATTTATAGGCTACTTTTTTTTAATAGTTTTTGTAATTATAGTTGGACACAATACCTTTATTTTATTTATTTTTTCTACCACTGAGCCACAAACCCTGCCCTAGGCTACTTTTCTTTTAGGAAAAACTGTGTTTTAACAGATCATTTTAAAGTTATCATCTATAAAACTCAGGTTTAGCCAGGTGCAGTGGTGCACGCCTGTAATCCCAGCAACTTGGGAGGCTGAGGCAGGACGATTATAAGTTCAAGACCAGCCTTAGCAACTTAGTGAGGCCCTAGGCAACTTAGCAAGTCTCTGTCTCAAAAAAGGGCTGGGGATGTGGCACCCCTGGTTTAAATCCCCAGTACCTCCCCTGCCCCCAAAAGAAAAACAGGTTTATCTGAATCATATTGAGGATGATTTTACTTTGTATGTATTTCTGACTTAAAGATTATATTCTCTTTAAGGTAAAACTAAGTTGACTTTAGACCCAGTTTATGTATTTAACTTTTCCATCGCAAACTACCATGCATGTGACTAATTTGAGTAACATAGCAATTATTGCTTTTTCACTTTTCATTTCTAATAAAGATTATACCTTAATTATTTCACATATGAGATTTATTATGCTTCATGATATAAGGCAAGAAGATGGAATCAAGAACTTCTTTACTGATGTCTATGATTTATATATAAAGGTATGGTATCTTCTACAATTTTTAAAAATCTGATTATAAAAAAGGATTCTAGCTTTGACAGGAAACTGGACTGTTTAAGTAACTCCTTTTTGCAGTTTTTCATTTCACACTAGATTTTCCCCAATTAGAACTAGCTTTGGCAACTTTCTCAGCAGGCAAGTCTTCACTGACAAGTTAAGATGTGTTTGGGAAAACAGCTCTTGGTAGGCTACTTCCCTGATAAATTCAACTATATTCACCAAAGGAAGAAGAATGATACCTTATCAAGTGATTGTGGTGTGATGGTCAGTAGCTTCTTTCCTTATTAGTAATTTCATTTAATATTAATTTTTTCCTACGTATGTTATAATGTGCTTACTTTAGTTAAGGAACTGATCATTTAGCTTTGTGTTAAAGAATATTAAAACCCCAATTAAAAAATGTTACAAGAATAACTTTTATTAACACTGAACATATGACAAAAATTTTTCCTTTGTTAATGTAGTCCAAAGGACCTTACAGATTAATCCATGTATTTGTAATGTATGAATACAAGTAGGTTTGTGTTTCTCATACAGGGTGAATCTGGAAAATTAATTTAATTTACACCCACAATATCTATCCTACTACCATTAGTTTTGCTACAGGTACTTCTCAAAACTAAAACACCAAAACAAAAAATTTTCTCAAGGGGACATTAATGTTTAACAATGGAGCATTTTCAGTGAAACCTAAAAATGTGGTATTCAGACTTGTTTTGAATATCTTTGATGAATTTTTTTAAATAGATTTTTTTAGTTAGATGGACACAATACATTTATTTTATTGATTTATTTTTACGTAGTGCTGAGAATCGAACCCAGTGCCTCATGGGTACCACTGAGCTACAACCCCAGACCAATCTTTGATGAATTTTTTAAAAAATATTTTTTAGTTGCCAATGGACCTTTTATTTTTTTATTCATATGTAGTGCTGAGGATCGAACCCAGGGCCTCACACATATCAGGCAAGTGCTCTACCACTGAGCCACAATTCTAGCCCCTCTTTGATGAATTTTAATTTAAAAGTTTTAAATAATTTAGAGACTTGATTTATCAGCCTTTTTGCTTTGACAAACCAATACCTTCTTCTTTCCTAGTTTGCAATGAATCCATTTTATGAACCCAATTCTCCAATTCGATCAAGCGCATTTGACAGAAAAGTTCAGTTTCTTGGGAAGAAACATCTTTTAAGCTGAATGCAGAAAAATTCTGAAGTAAACAGTGTCACCACAATGGGGTATGCTCAGGAATGTATACATTGTAAGTAACTTGATTAAATAGTCTGGAAAACTTTTACTTGTCTCAGTTTATCTAAATCTAATAGAATTTCTTTATAAAGTAGTTACATTCTGTTTCATGTGGATTATCAACAATTTGTTTGTGAAATGTTATTTATAAAGAGCTTTTTATCAATAATCTTAATAAATCGAAAATAAGCTTTTGACTTTCCTGATCTTGATATAACAATTCATTAAAAAACAAAAAAGTCAAGATTGGGTAGACAAAAAGATTCTCCAGAAGTGAATGAGCTTGATAGCACATACATTGACTGTATATTTGGAGATGTTATAAAACTTTATAGTACATAGTATTACTCAAGAAGCTGAAGCAGAAAGATTTGCAGTGCTAAATGTTGCATGCCTGCCTCTGTCAGAGGGTAGGAATAGGATCCTACTATAGTTCTAGAATCCTGGACCCATGTATGCAAAATAGACCAGTTATAGGCCACAGTGAAACATATTGCCTCCATGTCCTTATGTTCTTATAGTTCCTCTCTCTGAAGACAGTAAACTAAGGGTTAAATGGACCTGTTGATCTCTATTGTAAAAAACTGTAATGCAATTTAAGAAATGTTATTAAAGAAAAGTTTAGATTACATTAACATTTGCAGTTGGCCTTTTTGGCTATACACTGGGGGGACCAGGAATGGTCTTTCCTGTCCTTTAATAGTGTCTGATTTGACTGTAAAATAGTAAATATACAAGGAAGAGCAAGTAATAGAACTGGAGTCTTTTTTTGTATGTGTGCTAATTGTGAGCATATCTGAATAACTTTTGAGCAAGTAATTCTAAGCTTGGTCTTATATTCTGTTATGAAGTTGCTACTGGCATTTTTTTTTACTCTATTTATTTAATATCTTAAATAAAGCTGTATGTTCAATATTGTGGTAATTTTGCTTATTTCTGGTATTGGAATTGAACTCAGGAGTGCCCTATCACTAAGATAAATCCCCAGCTTTTTTTATTTTGTATTTTGAGATAAGAACTTACTAAAATTGTCCAGGCTAGCCTTGAACTTGCGATCCTCCTGCCTCAGCCTCTGAAGTATAGATGTGTGCCACTGTGCTGGCAATTGAGGTAGTCTGATAACCAATTTTGAAGGGCCACCCAACACAACCAGTTTTAGTCCTATTTCCCCTATTGAAAATCTGCAAAGTAAAATAACCTAATCCAATGGACAGATCACTTCTGAGTAGGCACCATAGCTTTGGGAGCAGGCAAAGATACTCATAGAAAACTAGGAGTAATTCCAGCCACGCTAATAGGAGACCCAAGCATGTATTTATTGTGTATAACTTGCCCCACCCTTAGCATATAATCCTGAGGGCTATAAAGTGAGCCAGCTAGGAGCAGCAGTGTGTTAACAGCAGGAAGTCATAGGGCTGAGAAGATCTGCGTCAGGCTCTGTCTCAGCTACATAGGAGTGGTACCCTGCAAATAGCCTTCCTTTTCTCAAGCCTTGTGAGGGTGAGACTATATTCCCAGAGTTAAATGCCAATTTTCATATGTGGCTGCATCATTGAAGGAGCTCAAAGGGACGTCCACCAGAATGGGACTTCAGAAGTGGGCCACATAGGGAAGCAGCATTCAAGAAAGGGGCATGGAGAAAACACAAGAGGCTGACAGGATAGAACAAGGACTGGTTTAAGGGGGAAGTCAGGAGCTGAGCATTAGAAAAACAAAGGTGTTTAGCTTGAATCTGGTAGGTGATGCCTTGAAGATTCTGGAACACAAGAGTAAAGGGGTGAAATCAATCATAAGAAAACCATACTGTACTAGGCACATGCATGTCAGCACTAAATTGTTAATATACATTAGTACTCCCAAAGTGACCCAGATAAAATAAACAAATCTGGTTTTGTCCTCTCTAGCTGAAAATTTCCTAGGATGCTTCATTCAACATCCATGTTTCCTATGTGTAGAAGAGTTTCTGCTCTGCCCATGCTACTACCCTAATAACTCTGTTACTTCAATATTTCTGGTTGACAGTCCTTGGCATCCTGGAAACCACTGACTATACGAGCTCTACCTTTCACTGGGTGCATGTGGTCGTCTTTTTTTCTCTTCAGTACTTTACTGCTTTATAAGATATACTGTGAGAGAACTTATATCATGGTGTCATAATAATAAAAGTGAGAAGTTTGCATAGGAATGCAAAAAGTAAGGTTTTCTTTTAAGATAAGGAACATGTGTGTTGTTTTAACTTCAACTAGGGAATTTTTCACAAGGGTGAAGAAAAGTGGCAAAAACTTTAGTCCACTGATGGTATTGCAATTTTCCATCTCATGTTCCAAGTTCAGCAGGTTGCCTTTTTCTTAAAACACTCTTCCAGGGATGGGGATGTGGCTCAAGCGGTAATGCGCTCGCCTGGCATGCGCGGGGCACTGGGTTCGATCCTCAGCACCACATAAAAATAAAGATGTTGTGTCCACCGAAAACTGAAAAATAAATATTAAAAAATTCTCTCTTCTCTCTTTAAAACACACACACACACACAAAACAAACAAACAAAAAACCACAACTCTTCCTGCCTCAGCCTCTGAAGTATAGGTGTGTGCCACTGTGCTGGCAATTGTGGTAGTTTGATAACCAATTTTGAAGGGCCTCCCAATACCACCACTGTTTTAGTCTTATTTACCCTATTGAAAGTCTGCATTCATATACAGCTTGAACTTAGTTGGATGTATGACTATTGTAATGATAAGACACCATGTGGTGAGCAACTCCTTTACCAAGGGGCTGTGAAGCATGACCTACAGTTCTTCCCATCTGTTCACTGGGAGGCTGGGCAGCTGCTTCTCACCACTCCTGCTACCATAGTCCACTTGTTCCCCATTTCTATTCCCTTTTCCATATTGTTCTAATTTGTATAGGTGGTACCCGCCATTCGAGTACCTTTTACTTTCTTTAAACAAAAGAGAATCAGATTTCTCGGCTAATTTTTGCTGCGGGTTGAAGTGCTTTTCCATCAGCTGCAGTTTGTTTGAAGGTCAAAGCTATTCTGTAAAGTTCTTCCTCCTCTTGTTTTTACATTTCAGTATCATGTTTGGTAAATTAGTGTTCACCAAAATTCTTTAAGACAACATGAAGCTGGATTATTCTCCCTTCAGCCTTTCTCTGTGGACACAAAGATCTGTTCCTTTGATCATCTTTTGTTGCACAGGTCTAAAATTTTGGGAAGCCAAAGAAATGATTTGTTACATATCCATACAGTTAATGGATACTCTATATACAGTAGAAATACTCCAACTATATATATTAAGAAAAAATGACAAGGCACCATATAGTGGGTACACTTTTGATTTAAAAACAAGTTCAGGGGTTGTGGTTGTGGCTCAGTGGTAGAGCGCTTGCCTAGCATGTGTGAGGTACTGGGTTTGATCCTCAGCACCACATAAAAATAAATAAGGTTTGTGTTTAACTACAACTTTAAAAAATTGAAAATTTAAAAAGTGCTGCTCAGCTGAGCGCCGTGGTGCATCATGTAATCCCAGCAGTTTAGGAGGCTGAGGAGAGGATTGCAAGTTCAAAGCCAGCCTCAGCAAAAGTGAGGCACTGTCTCTAATAAAATACAAAAAAGGGTTGAGGATGTGGCTCAGTGGTTGAGTGCCCCCAAGTTTAATCCTCGGATACCCACCCCCCAAAAGTACAGCTCATTCTAACATGAGAATATGAAGAAACCACCCCAAATTTAAAATGTTCCCCTATGACAAAACTATCCCTTATGTTAGGAAATCAGACTTAGCCTGCTTACTACAATGATGTGTGATTCTCAATGGTTGAGGAAAAATTTATTAATCTAGTTTTTCAAATTTTACTTCCCTACATGACAATGGGCTCCCCTACTCCACAGCTCCATAGCTGAGGGTCTTGTCCACATTAATTGCAGTCTAGATTTGAATTGTCTCCACAGGATAGGCACAGCATATGAACTTGACCCATGAAAGACCACAATCTGCTTTACCAAGTCTGGTCATTGCAGCAAGTCCTCTTTTTTTTTAAAGAGAGAATTTTTTAATATTTATTTTATGTGGTGCTGAGGATCGAACCCAGCGCCCCGTGCATGCCAGGCAAGCGTGTTACCGCTTGAGCCACATCCCCAGCCCAAGCAAGTCCTCTTTTTAGAACAAATAATCTTCAGAGCAAAAAAGTATTGAGTGTTTCCTTAGAGAAGGCACTAAATAATACCTTATCAAAGATGTCTTCATTTACCCTCTCACAAAGTACAATCCTTACTATAAAGTTGGCTTCTGTGTTGGGAAGATGGGGTTGCATGCGCTGCACAAATGAGCAACTGTAAGTCAGATGGATTCTAATATGTAGAATGAGAGAGAATGATTAAATCATTTTAAAGAGATGAAGACAATCAAAAAAGCAATGCAATGTAAATGCATTAGATTTTAATCTTTAATATTTAACATTATTGCTTTAGGAAGTCATTTCCCTGAACCAAGAATACAATGCTAATTACATAAAAATATACAGATATAAAAAGTAGTTCTCCATTTTCCTGGGGAGGGGGGGGGGGGGGACGGGCACAGAACAATCCAAGTATAACTTCTAGAATAGTCAAGTTTTTTGTTTTAATTAGTTACAATTGTGGTCATCTCATTTATTAGCTCTAACTTACATATTTAAATTAAAGAAACATTATTAGGCAACCATTACAATTTATAAATGTAAGGTGCCATTATTGAGTAAATAGATTTCCTTCAGAGTGGATGTGTCCCTTCTCCCACCAACTAATGAAGCAGCAAAAACATTAGTTGAAATTTATTAGTAGATGATACACTGCTGCAAACACTAATTCTCTTATCCACTCTTAAGTGCATGTATGAATTGGTTAGAACGCACTGATAATCTAACAATCAACAGCAAGATGAACTTGTCTTGGGCTTTCGGTGGAGATGGACCGTGTCTGTCTGAATCAAGTGATCTGACCTATCCTCGTTAGCAAGAACTCTTCGAACCGCTTCCTCAAAGGCTGCTGCAACATTGGTGGCATCTTTTGCACTTGTTTCAAAGTAAGGATAGTCGCCGTTGTCTCTGCACCAGGCTTGGGCTTCTTCAGTGGACACCTGCCGCTCATTTATGTCGATCTTGTTGCCTAAAATCACAAAAGGAAAACTTTCGGGCTCTTTTACCTCTGCATAATATATGAATTCTTTCTTCCAGTTACTCAAGTTCTGGAAGCTCTGTGAATCATCAACACTAAAAGTGAGCAGGCAACAGTCAGAACCTCTGTAAAATGGTGTCCTCAGGCTTCGGAATCGCTCTTGGCCAGCTGTGTCCCAAATCTGCATGGTAACAAAATGTCCATCCACCTCCAAATCTTTGTTTAAAAATTCCACACCTATTGTATGGAAGAGCTGGGCATCAAACTTATTAGTTACATATCTGTTCATAAGGGAACTCTTCCCAACTCCACCATCTCCCAGGAGAATTACTTTAAAAAGCGATGATTTTCCTGCCATTGTTAATCTTACAAGTTTTGACTTCAGAACCCTGTAAAATAAAAAGGTACCATTAAATTCCTTCACACCTGAATACTCTGCATTATTCTAGAAATATTAGCATTTAAGTGAACTAAAATAGCCCCAATTCCTTTTTGCAAGGAGCACACCTAAATAATAATTGTCATTACCTGAGCATTAAACCATGTGCCAACTTCTATCCTACTATTTATTCCCTAGAACAGCTAGCAGGGACTCACTCTTCCTCTTTCTTGGGTCACAGCTACAAATCTCTCATTCAAGACCAAATCTGACCCCAAAGACCTGGCTCTGAACTATTGATCTATTAAGCCCCTCCTTGCTCACAATAAGCCACCTCATCCCTTGTTAAAGAGGTGGTTAAGAGACCAAGTCTTCAGCTTTCTTTAGTATCTTCAAACAGCGCTTCAGTGCACAGTGATGGTGTTCATGAATGGTGCTCCTTGTGACCGGGATTTTTTTCTATTGCCCACCCCCCTTTACTCTGCAGACATAGGCACTGTTAAGCAGGAAAGCCAGAGACTTCCAGAAGCTCACTGATCTGTCTGTGAAAAAGAAGTGAACCAACCACTGGTAAAGGGAGTTTATTTCTCTTCTTTAGGAACACTTTTTTGAGTTTGCTGAAATCAATGTCAGCAGCAATTGAGGAGGGGGGTACTGGGGATTGAATTCAGGGGCACTCACCCACTGAGTGACATCCTCAGCCCTTTTTTGTATTTTATTTAGAGACAGGATTCCTCTGAGTTGCTTAGGGCCTTGCCAAGTTGCTGAGGCTGGCTTTGAATGTGATCCTCTTGCCTCAGCTTCCTGATCAACTGGGATTATAGGTGTGTGCAACTGCACCCAGCATAATTAATATAATCTGGCATATTCTATTCATAAGACTAATTTGGGCAGCTCTACCTCTTAGAAAATATGAGCCTGTGTTGTTACTTGTGTGTTTTCAAGTGGAATGAAATAAATGTAGATGTGCTATATTAGAGGAAGTCCTGGGGCAGGATTAAAAACTTTCTTATACTTAAAGAGCCAACCTGCGAGTTGAGATTTCTGATGCCTATTGACAGCTACTTCTAAGTGCTTATGGGAACACTTTCCTATTCGATGCTTTTCTTTTCTAAATTATGGAAAATTTCAAACATACACAAAACTTCTAAATAATGAAAATAATATAATGAATACCCATGAACTCTAAACCCAGATTTACCAACTGTCCATGTACGGCAAATCTATTTTTTCCTCAACTGCCACTCTCCTTTGTCCTGTTATTTTAAATCAAAATTATATCATTTAGCCTGTAAATATTTCAGGATTAAATGGCTTTTTAAGTATACTACATTTCATTAAAGAAAATAAACTGTAGAGAAGCACTGTTAAAAGAATTGTATACAGTCCGATCAAAATGTCCAATATGGCAATCATTAGCCAGATGTGGCTGTTCAGCACTTGACAAGTAGCTGGTGGGAGTAAGGAACTGAATTTTACCGGGCACTTAATCACTGAGCCACATCTTCAGCCCTTCTTTGTATTTTATTTAGAGATAGGCTGGCTTTGAACTCGCGATCCTCCTGTCTCAGCCTCCTGAGACAATAGGATTACAGGTGTGTACCACCACTCTGGACTAGAAAAATGTTTTGGGGGCTGGAAATTAAACTCAGGGCTCAGCACACATTCTACCACTGAGCTATACCCCCCAGCCCATTTATTTTAGACTAATTTAAATAGTCACACTTAAACAATAGCTGCACTGGATGGCACAGCTCAAGAGTAAAGATGGTCATTAACCTTAATGTTAAAGTAAATATTGTGAATCCGTTGATAGGAAGATAATAAAGACACAAATGACAATTGTTATTATTGACCAGGATAAGTTTGCAAAACCACTGCAGTTAACATTATCTGGCTGTTTCCTTGTTATATGCCAATGTGACCCAGTATAATGTAACCGAACACTTCTGTAACATTAAAGAACCATGTAGTATTTCACACCACATAATCATCACAACCACATTAATGGTTAACATATATTCATGACTATTCTGTGCATCCTAACCTTGCATCAAAAACAATTTAGTAATAAATGATTTTGCTTAAATAACTGCAACATAAAAAAGATCAACAAAACCAAAAAAGCAAATCAGCTATACAGGCATGGGTCACATAAAGACTTCAGTCAACACCACACCACATTGGAACAGTGCTCCCAAAGATTAAAATGGAGCTGAAAAATTCCTATCATCTAGTGGCATCATAGTTATTATAGTGCAATGAATTACTCATGTGTGGTGTAAACCAACCTACAATGCTGCCAGTTGTAGAGAATGTACAGCACATACAATTATGTACAGTACATAATACTTGCTAATGATTATATTACTGGCTTATGTATTTATTAAACTATACTTTAAAAATATTTTTAAATTTATTTATTCTTATTAGTTATATGACAGCAGAATGCAATTGATTCACTACACAAATAGAGCACAATTTTTCATGTCTCTGCTTGTATACTATACTATCATTATTTGAAGGTTTACTCCTACTTGTTAAAAAGTTTACTGCAAAACATATGCCATGTTAGATCAGAGCAGTCTCATACACCTCATGTTTACTATGTTTATTGATGGCACCAAGAGGTCATGTCTAGTGATTGATTTGTACCACTGAGGTTTGTGTAACCATTGTCACACAAAGTAGAAATCACCTTATTATGCATTTCTCAGAATGTGTCCCCATTGTTAACTGTATTTCAATGTAGGGAAAGCATCTGATGCTTCCTCAAATGATTAATATTCTTCAATGGTTTATCTCAGGACTAAGGTCAATTTCTAAGGCAAAAGAGCTCACCTCCCACCTTGCTTCTTTGCTTGAGTCATTCTGAAATGCATTGTCACATGGAACTGACAGCTCATCTTACACATTCATTACACTGGCATATGCTGTTCCCTCTGCTGGTGGTCCCCCGACTCCCACCCCAATGAACTGCTATGCTTTCAGACCTGCTCTTGGCATGGTCATCAACTCCACTGGGAACCTTTTCCCAGCAGCCCCCCCTAATGTTGTTCCTTTCATACAATTTTTAACATACTGAAACACAAAAGTTCCATGGTGTGTTATGAGGAAATAACAGATGTGCATAATTCTATCATTTATCCTAGTATTTTAATAAGTCTACTAATCTAACTGCCTGACCAGACACAAAGTTTTATTGTACAGCATTGCATTTTTAGAATCATTAAATGAAACTGAAAGCCAGATTCTATAATCAAACAACTCCACCTAGATTAAATCATTGAGATTTCTAATTTATAATTTTATCAGGACACTCTAATAATTTTTTTCCTTTCTCATAATCATGTGGCATTTCCTACTTTGTGTCATTATTCTGACCAAACAAATTTGGCTTATGCAAAACCCATATACCAGGAAACAGGGTATAATTTTTCAAATTTCCTAACTATAGTTTAGAAATCAACCTCAGATACTATTTAGGAATATGTTGGTATTTTCTACAATAATTAATAATACATATGAATACCTCTTTGATTCTAACCTATATACAAACATACATGGTGGTATAACTAAATATGCAAACCATCTTATTTCCCACTGACATCTAAGAGGCCAGCTTCACTAAATCAATACATTAACATAAACATAATTTATGGACATTAAAAATGTTCCCTTTGTTTTTCTTTAAAACCAGAATTGTTTGCAAAAATTTTAACATAAGTTAAATAATTAAAAGTATCCTACTAGCTGGGTGTGTAATACTTGTCATCCCATACAGGAAATCCAAGCGGCTCGGGAGGCTGAGACAGGAGGACTGCAAGTTCAAAGCCAGCTTCAGCAAAATAGAGGTGCTAAGCGACTCAGTGAGACCCTGTCTCTAAGTAAAATAAAAAATAGACTGGGAATGTGGATCAGTGGTTGAGTGCCCCTGAGTTCAATCTCTGGTACCCTTCCCCAGGGGGGGGAAAAATCCTATTATGTCATTTTAAAAATTTACCTAAAAGTGTCGGGCTCAGTAGCACACACCTGTAATCCCAGAGATTCAGGAGGCTGAGGCAGGAGGTTTGCAAGTTCAAAGCCAGCCTCAACAACTTAGCAAGGCCCCAAGCAACCTAACAAGATTAAAATATGAAAAGGGTTGGGGATGTGGTTCAGTGGTTAAGCACTCCTGGCTTCAAAAAAAGCCTTATGTTCCTTATGTTTAGAATGACTATCCAAAGGCAATAATCTTTACCAAGGTCAAAAACATTACTTCAGTAATTTAGCTAAATTCTACAGATAAAAATATCTGGGAAAAGCATAGTCCCATCAACTTTACCTTAGTAGAAGTTCAATTCAAGCATCATTACCTGCAAAAAAATTAGAAAGCTCACATTAGCAACTTGAACTTGTTTGCATAATTTTAAGACTAAACACAATAATTAAAATATGAAAGAAATAATGTGATTTCTATTAGCAGCCAGTTTCTTAACCTAAAACACCATATCTAAGTGCAGTCCATGATCATCTTCAGCCTAAAAAAAGGCCTACATCAAATATTACACTTTAATTGTTTTTTCCAAAAAAACTGTTGCCTGCCAACCCTTCTAAGTTTCACACACTACAATACCTATAAAATTATATTAAGAGGAAGTAGAGAATATCTCATTTATTCTTTAAAACGCCCAAATTTTCGGTGGATGAGAATAAGTCATTCTAGAAAACAATATAAAGACAACACAAACAAGGAAAACAAAAGGGGAGGAGGGAGGAGGCACCAACATGATACAGGAAGAGTGTGGACAAGGCTAAAGGTAGCACAGTGTCATGAAGCTCCTGTGCAACCAAGGCAAAATGAAAACTTCCTTCTAAGTGAACAAGGGCACAGGTCAGAAAGGAGAGCTTATTCCCAGTACCATAGCCAGGAGCACAGCCCCTGCATGAGATACTTAACCTCTTGAAGTCTCATGGAAGCAGGGGTGACAACAGAGGGCTGGGGGTGTAACTCAGTGGTAAAGC